AGTCCCAAGCATCTCCTAGAAATGGGTGCTGGAGATCTAGGCAGGGAGTGCCAGGGAACTGGCCTGGGAGGAGACCAGTCTTCTCCTGGATGGCTTTTCCATCAACCTTATCTCTCCATTTTTGATGCCTCCCATGCACCAGCTGCTCGGGTGGCTGGGAATGGAGAGAGGTCTCCCCGGTAGGAGCCTTCAGGACTCCTCAGACATCTTGAGCTGAGCTTCAGGAAGAGGGACTCTCGCCTCTCTTAGCAGCCTCCTGTTGACTTCATCTCAGGCTCCTCCAGCCGGGCGAAGAGACCTCCTGCCACCTTCCACTGCTTTGCTCTGATCTCACAGACTCCACCTTCCCAGCGGGGTGTGTGTGTGTCTCTGACATAACGTGCCTTGGGGAGGGAGGGAGGGAAGATCAGTGGTCCCCTCCTCACCTCTGTGGGGCTCAGGGGAATAAGGCCTCTGAGGGCACCCCATCAGCTGGAGCTTGCCACTGTTCTTCCATGATGCCTCCCAAGCTTCCCTTTGATTTTCTTGGCAGGTGATCTTGTTCCAGTATTAATTCCTCCTTTTCCTCCATTCCCGGGACTTGCGATGCCGCTGCTGCTGCTTTTGATCTGCCGGACCGTTCCATCCCTGGCCACCAAGGAACACCCCCCCCTCAAGGTCTTCTCAGCCTTGGCTTCTGGATCTCGGTTGCCGCGGCTGGGGCCACCAGCCGTTGGGCGTTGCCCCGTGGCATCCTTCATCGGGTGGGAAGACTCCGAGCAGGGCCTATCTCTGGGTGACCAAAGCAAAAGGGGGACTGGCTGTGGGCGGATCTTGTCTCCTGCTGCAAGTTTTAACCAACGTAAAGGACAGACCCTGGGCCACCTGGGCTGGACGTGTTCATCCAAGGAAGGTTGACCTCCAAGCTAAGAATCAAGCCTGCACGTTTAGTCTCGACGTTCAGCCGTCCGATGGAAACACGGATGGGAAGGTGGGAACTTTCTCCATTTCAACAGAGAAGACCACGGATCTTGTTCAGTTGGTTCCTTTTCAACTCTGGAGGCTTTTGATTCTCCCCGCAAGCAACATTGATCTGGTTTTTTGGGGGGGAGGGGGGACTGTCGGGGCTTTGCAGCACTCAAACCAGAGTCTCGACCTGCCCCGCGAGGTGATCTTCCCAGTGCTCGTCAAACTCTTACGGATGCTTCTCATCTCCTCACCCAGCAGCCGGTGGAAAAACGCCTCTTCCCCCCTAAATCTTGGCAGTAAGATCCAACGAATTGGGGCTTCCGCCTTCATGCAGAGCTGAGGAAAACGTTTTTAAACCCTCTGGTGGCAACCTCGAACTTTCGAAAGGAAACTTGGGGGGGGGGGGGACAGAAAAAGTGGGAACTGGAACTTCCCTCTCTCTTTCTCTCTCCCTCCCTCTTATTTAATGGCGTTTGGCATTCTCAGGTCGTGCTGGACGGAGCAACCGAGCAAAAGCACTTGGCCTTGTTCTCCCGCCTGTGGAGCCCCTGGTCGTTGTCGCCTTCTTCGCAGCCTCAAGCTTCGTCTTGCTAGGCTGGGCAGCTGCTGGGTTGACTGGCCCATGAAATGTCTTTTTGGACAAAAAGGCCCTGCTGGGAGAGGCATTGCCCTGATCGGGGCATCCCCCCCTCCCAGGCCTGGGACAGGGACACCCCCTCTCCCCAACCAACCTCATTGCTCTTTGCTGGCTGGAATGGCATGGATCTGCTCCATTTTCTCCCAGGACTTCTTACCCAAAGACCCAGGCATTGTTCTCTCTCTCTCTCTCTCTCCCTCCTTCCCTCCCTCCCACTGGAGAGCTCCCGATCTAGGCAGATTCCACCCACCACTTCTCCCCGGGCGATGATGGCACGGATGATGTTGCCTAGTTGGGTCATGAAAACGTCTGCAAGAAAGCCACCAAGCTCAAGAGAGCCAAGGACCCCTCCATTCAACCCGCAGCTACAGATGTTCTTTCTTGGTATGACAGCCCGTTTCCAACAGTTCTGCCGCTTCGTGGTCTCGTTCCGTGCTGTTTGGATGGTCCTTCAACGGAGAGCCCAGCACGACCTGCTCCCGAGAATTCGCCCCGAGAGCTTGACCTGGAGAAGGAAGTCGCCCGGTTGTGTGTTTCTTGGTGGTCCTGGGTGGCCGAGGCAGCGAGTGCAGGGAAGAAGGGCCAGTGTGGAATGACCCTTGAACTTCCTGACTCAAAGACGCCCTGCTGAATTGCGGAGGGGACAGAGGTCACCCTCCCTGATGGCTCTGTGTGTGTGTGTGTGTGTGTGTGTGTGTGTGTGTTTCAACTGCCCTTTCTTTCCAAGGGACGGCAACTGCTCTGGGGGAGTGGGGTCAAGCGGTGGCCTTGAGGGGGCTGCTCTTTCAGCCCCTCTGCTGGATGAGGAGGAGGAGGGGCCCAAGGGTGGGGATGGAGGTCAGTCCCAGAGGAGAGACAAAAGGTTTTGTCTTGTTGTTCAACCTGCAAGCAAAGGTTGGGTTTTTCTTCCTTGTAAAGGTCTAGGAAGCAGCCCAGGCCTCCTTTTTAAACACGGTAAATTTTACTCCAGTTTTGCAAAACTGGAAACCGTTAAATGGATGTTTGATCCATTCCTCTCCTTGGTGAAATGGATGTTTCTGGAACATTAAGGCCTGCCCCAGAAAAAGGAACATCGATCTTCTGTAGAGCAGCCTCTCATTAGCCGAGGTCTTCTCCCTGGGCAAAGCCCTCCGTCTACCTACAATTAGTAACACTCCCATGCCAACATGCCCCCTGCAAAGGTGCCCCCTGACCTGGGCGGGCAAACTCTGTGCGTGCTCAGAGACCCTCCTGGAGGCTGGACTATTTTTTCCCGTAAAAAAATCTCTATTTTTGCCTATAATCTACTCTAAACGAAGCCTCCAACATTGGGGGAATTTAAAATATGAACGGAGTCGCTCACATCATTCCCTTCTCACAACCCCCCTGTGTAAAAACTCCTAGCCTAGTTCCGAGGGGCCAGCAATTAGTTAAGATTAGTCAAAAATCTGTGTAACTCGATCCCTTGCTTTGGAATTCGGCACAGGGTGGTAGTTTCCTTTATGGGAATACGTTTGAATTTTCTATCGCTCTGAGAAAAAAAAAATTAAAGTAGAATCTAGCGGGATCTGGGAGGACAAAGGAGCACCGGAATTAATTTCCAGGAACTAAGAAGGGCCAAATTTTGTTCGAAAAAGCTGAAATATTCACACCGATAATAACGTATATTTAATTGAAGCACGTTGGGCTCGCCGGTGTGTGTGTGTGTGTGTCTCAGAAGAGCAGCGTTGCGTCTCCCCCTTTCTGCTTTTCCTATTTTTTTTTTTTAAAGCTGTGGTGAGCAGAATAGGGGGCTGCCTGGCCCGGTCAGGAGAAGCCGGGAGGTCCCAAGCTGTGCCAAATTGTCTAGGGGGGGGGGGGGGGGGGGAAAAAAGAGCAGACTGTTTTGTTTGTAGATTGTGGCAATTTGTGCATGTCTAGGTGAACATGGCTAAAAATAACCTTTGGAAGAACAGGCGGTCAGGACCGGTATTTATTTAAAATAAAAGAGACGAGGGGTGGGTGCTTGTGGGGGGGAGGGAGGAGGGGAAAAAAAGAAAAATGTAAAGCACTTTTTTTAAAAAAAAAAAGAAAAAAAAATCAAATCCAAACAAAAAAAAAAAAAAGGTCAGAACCAAGGTTTTGTTTTATTAGCTCCCTTTTACTGTCGTGCTTTGTAAATGTCTTATTTGTGTAATAAATAAAGTCCAGTCGAGTGGAGGTGCGGGGCACTGACATCATGGAAGACCGTTCCCTCTTCTTTGCTTTGGGGAACGGGGCCCCAGCCTTGTCCTGGGACGTCCACGAGGAGGGCAAAACAAAAGGACAACAAAAACAACAACAACAACCACCCCACAATAAAATCTGGCGGGCAATGAACCCGGCGGGGCGTCGGGCAAAGGACGGGCGGGCAGCCCGCTTGCCAACCGGGGAGGAAGAGGAGCGTAATTGCGGGCGATTGGCTCACCATTTCCACTTAGGGCCTTCGATGAAAGGAAAGCCGCTGGGCCCCCTTCTCTTGGCAGGGGGAGGCCACGTCGGCCTTAATGGAGAAATTATAGGGAGAGGGTCCTCTGGCGGGGTGGGGGGGGGCGGGTAAACCCAAGGGGAGCCGGGGTTCTTCCTTCGCCCTCCGCCCAGCTCACTTCTTCGGCTTGAAGCCAACGCATTCGTCCCAGCCTTTCCGGCACGTCTTCACAATCCAGTCGTGCTCGTCATCATCTTAAGAGGGGGGGGGGGGGGGGGAGACGGGTGGTAATTGTGGTAGGGGGGGAGACACAAAAGGAGAATTAAAATGGATTTCATTCAGGGTATGTGTGTGGGTGTGTGAGTGGCTCTCTTGGCCTTTCCTTGTCAAACTGGGGAGTTTGGGCCCAAGAGCTGAGCGAGGAACAATGAAGACTTAAAAGACATAAAAGAAGGATATTTTTTTTTTTCAAGGCAGGGCAGATAGAAAGGAAGCCCAAGGTTCTCCTCAAAGAGAAAGCAAGTGTATTTTGAGCTGGCAATGAGGCCACTCGGGTGTTGTTTTCGGTTGGTTTAGCAAGGCAGCTGGACTTGGAAACAAGCCCAAGTGAGTTTAAACTGGGTTTTTACTCCAGGTAAGTAAGCGGGCATGGAATTAGTCTAATTCCCTGCCCTGGACATGACGACAGTCTTGACTGCCTTTTAACAACTCAATTAATTTCATTTAGGTCGTTTTTCATACTGTCAAAACTTCGGCCTTTGTTAGGGGATTTCAGAAAGCACGGAGGGGTAAGCTGATGATTTAATAAATTTGAGGACCCCCGTGCATTGTTGGGGAAAGGCCGTTATAATTCACGTCCACTGATCTAAATTCCATTTTGCTTAAGTGTTAGGTGGTTAATCTGGTAACCGGTTCAAAACTGACGCGGCTTCTTTTCCTGGGTTCAGGAAACCAACTCCAGGATCCCCAATAAATATATTTTCATTCCCTTTTTATTTTGGGTCTCTGGG